GTAGCTCAATCAACTCTTCTCTTCTTACTCAGTGACTCTTCCTGTTTCCTTTCCTTCTCGCTCTCTCTCTCTCTCATTCTCTTAGCAAGGCAAAGATAGTCCTTACTTAGTTTCCCACATTAATTCCTCTTATTCAGGATGCTGTCTGTTTTTTAATTTTAATCGAGTTCCTGATCTTCCGCTTAGCTGTGAAGTCCCCATATTAGGCAAAACGTTGGGATTTACATCACTCTATCTGGTGTCCTGCAGTGACCAAATGTTCATCCACCTCCGATTTCTGAATCCATAAATCTTTACAGGCGGTTCTGTGTTCTAATTGCCTCTTATCTATGGGTCGAAAAGTCTCCTTCACATAAACACTACCACATAAGCACAAAACCTTATAAAAACCTGATCTGCAAAGGGCTTCGATAGATTTTTTAAAAGAAGGCATGATCGAGGAAAGCGTTATTGTTTCTTTATGTTTTGTCTTGACACTCCATTTCTTCAATAATTTTCCTATCTTTGTAGGCACGAAGAGAAACTGGGTTTCGATTAATCTCCGGAGATAACTTTGTTGAAAGGACTGTGTCTGCTTGAACGTCGTAACAAAGCCAAACGGCTGCAGCACAACGGGATTCAGTAGTCCTCTTCTGGTTGGATCAGCCTACGAATCTCTTCTTCATGCACTTTCATGCGAAACGAAAAAACCCCAGCAATCACCTATCTTTCCTGAAAGCTTGCAGGATAGTAGCATTAGGAGCCTAGACGAAGAGTTGTCTAATTCCTTGTTTGGGCCAAAATAATGGTTTGTCTTCACCCTATTTCTCAATATTTTAAAATGGTTAATAATTAATTCTACAGGATAATTGCTCGCAACTAAGATTTGTCTTAACTTTTCTAACTCATGTTCTTGATGATTTAAATCTGCTAGGCGTAAATTCCGTATTACCATTGATTTCATTACGCCTACCTTAACACCATAAGTATGATTCGAGAAGAAATTAAGAAGGAATCTAGCATTTGTGGGTTTCCTATCTACATCTCTACTCAGTTTGCTCCTTCCTTACTAACTAGGGTATCTAAAAAGGGTAAGTTATTCTCTTTTTCTAACTCCAAGTCACCTTAACTACTCTATTCAGTAAAACAAGGAAGACCTCTAAACACGCTTTGTCATGCTGCCAGATAGCAATGTAATCATCCATATATATCATCCAAATATATATAGATGCTTTCTTGCTCTGACGATGTCCGTCACATGACTGATGAAAGCTAATCAGGGAGTCATCGGGGTCGTAAGACGGTGAGTCGAGGTCTTCTTCACACAATTCAACAGACAAAAGTACAAGCCAAACTTCCTGCGGTAACCGATATGGCTGCCTTCTCAAACGAAATGAAATGTAAGCCAGTATCAAACTATTTATAAGTGGCATCCGTTTTATCTTTAAACAAGGGTGTCTCGAAGAGGTCTGGATTAAACTACAAGGTTGGTAAAATATAATCCATACATGAAGATGCAAAAGTTTACGTGCTAGAAATATATGGTGTTCGAGCTCGAGCACCAATAAATGTGGCATAGCTCTCAATAGCCATAATGTAAGCGTGCTCCGCAGTCTAACTAAGAATTCATTTTATCCTTCTTATAATAAATAAAAATTAATCATATACAAATTTGTAAAGCATAATTTTTAACTGCATCATGAGTTAATCGAGGATATCTGGCAAGTCAATAGGACTGTGTATGATTAAAAGTGTCGAGTGGTGCTTAGAAAGAGATGAATGGACTCACCAACACTCCTCACAGCTGCAATGATCCGTCTCGTCAGTCTGATGATGCCAGTACCCGCACGGACTATCAAAGTTACAAATAGCAGGAGCCCGAGTCCCCAGCGGTCCAAAGTCCGAGTCCCCAGGGCCGATGGAGAAGTCGGACAGTTCGGTAGCATCAGGCCCTGAGGTCTGCAGGCCAAGACCGAGAGTCTCAAAGAGGCTGGTTTTACGAAACGGTAAATTGTCATAGTCATCATGGCCGTAGAGTCGATCGTGTCGAGTCTGGTTGAGATGGCTGGTCGGCAGATTAAGAGCAAGTGGATAATGAGAACTGGTCATTTGACCCCAAGACAGTAGTAACATTAGGACAATCCAGAAGTGTTTTGAAATAGCTGTGTAATCTCCAAATGCATAATCGTCTGGCGAAATGTCAATCTTTATTGGCGTAATAAAATCCCCGCCTTTCTGTCTACTCGAAAGTTGCCGAATAAAAATTGGAATAAACCCCAACCGCAGCCACATACAAATGA